TAGAATCACGCTGAGGCCGAGGGGCCAATCGTGATATGAGGACGACGGCGATGAAGAGTCGGTCCTATAATATGATGATGAGGTGATCGTCATATAGTGGCGATGGTCACCATCCAGGAAGGGATGACGAGCCCAATCGTTAGCTTAAGATTCTCGGCGCTGAGGAAGCCGGTCTTGAGATAGATAATCACGCCGAGGCCGAGGGGACGGTCGTGATATGAGGACGACGGTGATGATGAGTCGGTCCAATAATATGATGACGGGGCAATGATGAGCCGGCCGTCATACAGAGGTGATGGTCACCATCCAGGAAGGGATGGCGAGCCCAATCGCTAGCTCAAGACTCCCGACGCTGGGATCCGGTCTTGAGATAAAAAATCACGTCGAGGCCAAAAGGCTGATCGTGATGTGTGGACGGTAATGCTGGGAGGCCGATCCAAAAGTCCATGCAGCGGTCCTTATCCATAAAGTGAGAGGATGGGGCCGGTCTTCAGAGTATGATGATCACGTTGAGATCGAGGGGTCTGCCGTGTAGATATAAAAGATCACGTTGAGACTGAGGGGTCTGTTGCGATGTGAGGATGAAGGCGATGATGAGTCGTTCCTGTAACACCCCGGCCCCGTATGGCCCGAGGTAGTTACTTCTGACCTCTAGTACTGTCCTCACAAACCACTACTAGCCTTTTCCGTGCACTTCCTCCTCAGTCGTGCGCGTCCTGAGAAACTTCTCAGGGGGTCACCCATCCCAAGACTACTCCCGTGCAAGCATGCTTAACTTTGGAGTTCTTGGCTAATGAGCTCCCTAAATAGGAGATGCACCTTGTTGGTATGAGTAGTACTATTAATCCCCTTAAATTAATCTCGGGTATTACAATCACCCCCACTTAGGATCGCAACGTCCTCGTTGCGCCCTTAACACTCTCAATCAAACACCAGAATCTTGCCCCGCTAAGTGCCCGCCCGATATCTAACGAGTCAACACACTGTCGTAGGGTTGCTCTGATACCATTTGTAACACTCCGGCCCCGTAGGCCCCGAGATAGTTACTTCTGACCTCTAGTACTGTCCTCACAAACCGTCACTAGCCTTTTCCGTGCACTTTGTCCTCACTCGTGCACGCCCTGAGAAACTTCCCAGGGGGTCACCCATCCCAAGACTACTCCCGTGCAAGCACGCTTAACTTTGGAGTTCTTGGCTAATGAGCTCCCTAAATAGGAGATGCACCTTGTTGGTATGAGTAGTATTATTAATCCCTTTAAATTAATCTCGGGTATTACAGTTCCAATAAATGATGACGAGGCGATGATGAATCCGATCGTCATATAAAGGCGACGGTCACCATCCAGGAAGGGGTGGCGAGCCCAATTGCTAGTTCAAGACTCTCGGCGCTGAGGAAGTCGGTCTTGAGATAGATAATCATGCCAAGGCCGAAAGGCCGATCGTGATGTGAGGATGACGGCAATGAGGAGCCGGTCCTACATTCCATGCAACGGTCTCCATCCGGTAAAGGAATGGCTAAGACCGGTCTTAAGATAGAACATCACGCCATAGCCGAGGGGCTGGTCGTGATGTGAGGAAGACGGCGATGAGGAGTCGGTCCTACAATATGACGATGAGTCGATGATGAGCCGATCGTCATATAAAGGCGACAATCACCATCCAGGAAGGGGTGGTGAGCCCGATCGCTAGCTATAGCTCAAGACACTCGGTGCTGGGGAAGCCGGTCTTGAGATAGATAATCACGCCGAGGCCGAGGGGCTGGTCGTGATGTGCGGATGGCAATGAGAAGGAGCCAATCCGAAATATGATGACGAGGCGATGATGAGCCGACCGTCATATAGAGGTGATGGTCACCATCCAGGAAGGGATGGCGAGCCCATCGCTAGCTCAAGACTCTCAACGCTGAGGAAGCCGATCTTGAGATAGATAATCACACCAAGGCCGAGGCGCCGATCGTGATGTGCGGATGGTAATGAGAAGGAGCCAATCTGAAATATGATGACGGGGCGATTATGAGCCGACCGTCATATATAGGTGATTGTCACCATCCAGGAAGGGATGACGAGCCCGATCGCTAGCTCAAGACTCTCGGCGCTGAGGAAGCCGATCTTGAGATAGGTAATCACGCCGAGGTCTAGGTGCCGGTCGTGATGTGCGGATGGTAATGAGAAGGAGCCAATTTGAAATATGATGACAGGGCGATGATGAGCCGGGCGTCATATAGAGGTGATTGTCACCATCCAGGAAAGGATGGTGAGCCCGATCGCTAGCTCAAGACTCTCGGCGCTGAGGAAGCCGGTCTTGAGATAGATAATCACGCCGAGACCGAGAGGCCGGTCGTGATGTGCGGATGACAATGAGAAGGAGCCAATCCGAAATAAGATGACGGGGCGATGATGAGCCGGCCGTCATATAGAGGCGATGGTCACTATCCAAGAAGGGATGGCGAGCCCGATCGTTGGCTCAAGACTCTCGGCGCTGAGGAAGCCGGTCTTGAGATAGATAATCATGCCGAGGATGAGGGACCGTTCGTGATGTGATGAAGGGCAAGGTGATGACGCCGGACTGAACATGAAGGAAGGTGGATTTGATCCGATGATGGACTAAGGCTTGGACGCTCGTCAAAAGATGAGGGATGACGCTGGGCGCTCATCTGAAGATGAGGGACGACGCTGGGCGTTCGTCTGAAGATGAGGGACGGCGCGGGGCGCTCGTCTGAAGATGAAGGACGACGGTGGGCGCTCTTCTGATCCGTATGTATGGTCTTGCTTCATCCCTAATGCATAGTATTTGCCTGATATGTATTTAGCCAAATATGTGGCTTGTTTTGTGAGGATTTTATTTTTTATCGCTCGAGGCTGGCGAGTGCGCGGTCTTCGGCTTCCCTCTTTTGATTTGTGGGGATTTCGCTCGAGGCCGTCAAGTGCACGGTCCTTCGGCTGTCCTCTTTTATTTCTTCCTCTACTTCTTTGAGCGAGGAGTGAGTATCTTTCTTTCAGGCTCGGCCGAGGGGGTTGCTATTCCCTCAGCTGGAGGGAGTCCACGAGGGCAGTTAGTCCTCTGACGGTGGATCGTCCCTTAATCTTGGGGGGTCCCGTAGTCTATTTACGGCACAGGCTAGGCTTTTGGTCGGTTGCGAACGGCTTCCGTTTCCCAACCCCTAGTGTGGGGATTTTGTCACCTCGGCCATGCTTTCAGGATTGTCGTAATGCGATTTAGCGCGAGAACGACGCGGTGAGCTTCCTGTTTCAAGACGTGGGCCGTTTGCGGGCCCCTCGTCCTGGTACATCGTCAGCCATGCCTGAGCGTCACGCTCTAAGGGGTCGATACGATTTGTTTTGTCGGCCATACCTGAGCGTTTCGCTCTAAGGGGTCAACGTGATGAGTGATATCTGAGATTGAGGTGTGCCGTTTACCGCTCATAAGCATAATAATGTCGTGTGTGGCCGATAGCGGTCGAGGGTCCGCTGATTTGGCCGATGCGTACATCGGCATTGCAGAGGGCTCGTTGTTTGACTGAAGTGACTCCGATTCTGACAGGTCGAAGGCCCTGCTTCAGCAGTTGTAACCCTGATTGGAGTGGAGTCCCCGTTTTAGCCAATGTGGTGCAGGGGGCTGTTTGTTTGCTTGTGGTGAGGGCCTCGATCGATCACTTTGACCGAGGGGATAGCCAGGCATGGTGCGCTTGTTTTGGCCGATGTGCAGCAACTGATGATGCCATCCTCCATTGTGTAAAGGTGTTAATTTCCGGTTCGGGCCGAAATGTAATGTTTGGTTGAGGGGGAACCAAGCGAGGGGTGGTTGGCCGAGGCTTACAACAGCCGTTGTGGACGAAAGGTGTTGCGAGAGCTCTCCTTAGGCCGGCATTTGGCCGAAGATCGAGAGGCCACCTGCTGCTCGAGGGTGACGGAGGGATAGTCTGGGGTGTCCGCCTTCTTGGTCGCGAGAGATTATGGTTTCGGCCAATGGATGGTCCCGATCTTGTTGGTTGTTAAATTCTGGCCGAGGAAGAGTGTTTGGACGCGGGTGACCAGTTGGTGGAGGCAAGGGGCTGTTTTCGATACTAGCGTGTGTGCCCCTGGAGGAGATGGAATTTAACCAACTCTACTGCCATGATTTTGGCTGCGGTGCCACTTTGCCTCCAATTGGGCTGAGGTGTAGGAGGTTGGGAGGGTCTCACTTCACTTGCTCTAACTCTCCATTCTCAATGAAAGAAGCAAATGATAGAGTATATATTCTAGAGAAAAGTAGAGTTAGAGAGATAAAGTGATATATATAAATGAATTTCAAACCTTTTACATGTCTTCCATAGGGAGTATTTATAGGAGAATAGTGGGCTGGGCTTCCAGGCTTGGGTTTGGCAGATCCAGTTACAATAAAAGGCCAATAAATGGCTAATAAATGAGGTTTAATCTATTTTAATGGGTACAAATGAATAAGTAGAGTGTACAATGAGATAAATCCTATCTACTGAGCGTATTGTGGTCACTGTCCGGGCCCAATAGTCATGAGACCCGGGGGTCCGAGTCTATATACTCTATCACCGCTTCTTCTCCCCACCTCTCATATCGTCTAACATATGCATCATTCGATCTTCTACATACATGATCAAACCACTGCAATCGCTAACTGCTACTCCCACCTTTTGCCTAACTCTTTCATTCCACAAACGACCTTTTTTAGTATTCTCAAACATCCAATGTAACATACACATCTCTGTCATACTCATCTTTTAAATGTAACATTGTTTCACCGTTCAAAGTCTACATCATACAGGTCTCGTTGTTGTCTTGTAAAATTTACCCTTCAGTCTAGTCGGAATGCATCGATCACATGATTGTGCCAATTATAAAACTTTTCGTAGATACTTTTAAATTAAATACAAAGAAGGTAAGACTTATGATGTTTTTAGTTAGACTGGTTTTAATTTCATACAAGACCAAGCTAAATTAAACCAAATTTTTACATTTATAAAATACACATAAAAGAGACCTAATCAAATGAGAGAAAAATTGTAATCCCAATTAAGAATATATTTGTAATAGTACCTCACCATGCATCCAAAGGGTCCAAACAGCTAATGCAAAGAGCCGAAGAGTAGAATGAGTTTGAGGGTAGCGTGAGGATGACTGGAGTATTCAGATTCCGATAAAAAGGCCCCTCTCTCATCCCAATTGCTTGCTATTTTCTCTCTCAAGTTTTCACAGGAAAACTCTATTTTCCCGCAACCATTTCCATCTATACATAGCACAATCCCTAATCGCCCATCTGTCACTCAAATTTCTCATTCCCTTCAAACCGTCGTCCCGCAAATTTCCGGTACGGATACTCAATTTCATGTATTTCCGGTTTCTGATACGCAGGTAGTTGTTTTTTGGTAAGTCAGCTCTTTTGCTGGTTGAGATCGAATAAGTTAAATGTGAATCCTAGGTGTAGGGCTAATGGGTTGGCTTGGTCCGCCGATGACATGTTTAAATTTGATTTGGTTTTGCGAATCTCTGCGATGGATTTTATGTTTGTAGCTATAAATATGATGCCTTTATTATAAATAATGAATTTTGTCGGAGGATGTGGGTTATTGCTTTTTATGTATGAGATCTGGGTTCTTAAGAAACTTAGATGCTTCTTGTTTGTTCTGTGAATTGAAATTTAATAGAAACAGAAAAAAAAAACTTCTCTTTTTTTGCCTTTTATTTTTCTTACTAGTTTTTATAATAATAAGGATTTTAGACTGTAAGCAACTTATTTATGCAAGCTTATGTTTCATTCGTCGTGCTATTAAGTCAATCTGATTCAATATCAGCCCTCCTTGATGCGCTTCATACATTTAGAAATCTTAATAAGCTTACATAACTTTTGCCTACATGAGATGTGGTGGTCTTGGATTAATGTGAAATCTCTGACAGGAATCAAATTTCTTCGTAATGAATAGATTGTTAGGATCTGATTGCCTTACTATAATTTAGTGTATCTCCAAATTTGGGAATTCTAACATGTCCTGCCTTCTATGTTACTGCTTTCGGAAGAGTGAAACATACTGTTATATGTCGTTGAACTTTTATTGATAGTTTTCATGCTGGATCCGTTTCTCAGATGTGGTTTTGATTTCTTGCACTCAAGCTGCTTGTATGTAGTCATGATCATGTGAACACTGGTGCTTCGTTTTCCCTAGTTTTGTAATTTACCTTTTTAGTGTAGGAAATACTCATAATTGGATTTGTTAAAAAGGTATTCTCAGAGCATAAGCGATAAGTCCATAACAACAGCATGCCCTATTTTGCTGGGAAAATAGTATCTTTGATCCCCCAGGTTTTTAAAGATATTTTATCTCATGCATCAACTGCATGTCTTGTTGAATGGAAGGTTTTGAAGGGGGTATGTTGGAGGGATTAGTCTATATCTTTATACATTAGCTTTGCATTAAAAATACTCCCCCGTTTAAAAAAACAAGTCTTGCTTGAGTAAGGTGTAACTTTTTAGCGTTAGTGAACTCGATCAAGGTACAAGCTTTTAAAAAGCTATAAATGATCAGGTCACATATACCCCTAAACTTATTTCAAAGACAGTTTGCAGTAATTATTAAAATTGTTTGCTGCTTCGCCGTATAGGAATTTTACATGGGAATGAATTTGGACTTTTAAAACTGGACTCCTTGTTTGGACAAAAATAATTCTTAAAAGTGGACATTTTTGGAAGGGATGTAGGAAGAGGTTCACATAATATATCAATATGTGATTGTATAACATTTCAATAACATTTCTATTTGTTTTAAAAACACTCTACTATATTTATCAATATATAGATTATAGGCTAGTCTTCAAAACCCTCTATCCATACAGACCCAAATATGTGGTATGATATTGATTCTGTCCATTACAAATCGGGGTATTATACTATTAAATGGATACATATTTTCTTTTTTAATTTTCGTATTCAAAATTTGTTTTAAAGTAGTTCTTACAGAGGCCTTGTGCAGCTGTGCCAGTGCTACCTCAATATTATTGTTGTCTGGAAGAAATGTTAATTACACCGTATTTTTATATGCTCAAAAACTCAATGCAACAATATTTGAAATTTTATATCAATCCCTGTTTTTTCCTTTACAGATCAATATTTAATTTAGAAATGGCAAAGGGAACCAGAGGAAGGCGCAGGATGAGCTCACGGCAAAGCAGGCCCACCCCATACTCCTTGCCGTCTGCAAACCAAAAGCAATGCTCAAAAAAGTGTAAGAAAGACTGGGAAGACGCTACATGTTCAGTGTGCATGGAATGTCCACACAATGCCGTCCTTCTCCTCTGTTCCTCCCATGACAAGGGTTGCCGTCCCTACATGTGTGGGACCAGCTACCGTTACTCAAACTGCCTTGACCAGTACGAGAAAGCCAACACAAAAGTGAAGTCCACAAACCAATCTGTTCAAAATACCACAACAGGTCCCATCCTTTGCCCAGATTGGCCCGAAGAGAAATTTGAGATCACGGAACTCGCATGCCCACTTTGCCGCGGGCAGGTCAAAGGGTGGGCTGTGGTGGAACCCGCCCGGGAATACCTGAATGCCAAGAAAAGGAACTGCATGCAGGATGGCTGTCAGTTCATGGGGAACTATAAGGACATGCGGAAGCACGTCAAAACAGAGCACCCTTCCGCTAGGCCCCACGAGAAGGACCCGCTTGTGGAGCAGAAGTGGAGGCGGCTCGAGGTGGAACGGGAACGTGATGATGTCATCAGCACGATAAGATCTTCGATGCCAGGGGCGGTTGTATTTGGGGATTATGTGATTGAGGGAGGCCCATTTGGTTACGGTTCAGATGAGGATGATGACGACGAGGTCGGAATAGAAGGTGGAAATTTGATTAATGTGTTGCGTTTTTTGCAGGCGTTTGGTTCAGCAGGTGGTAATATTGTTGGACCAAACAGAGTAGCTCCCGGTGGAGGTTCTGGAATTGATCACAACCTTCCAGTTGTTTTTGATTACTCAGAACAAGAGAGTGATGATGGTGAATATGATAATAGTACGTCGTTGGTAGGGCGGCTTCGCCGTCACAGAGGGATCCTCTTGGGACGTTCTGGAAGGAGACGAAGGCATCGGGAGGTCAACAGTGGTGGCCGGAGGTAGATCACCACTTCTCGTTTTATTATTGGAGAGTTGAAATGGCGAAGGAGAAAATAAAACATTCACAAAAAATTCTAGGGGTGTTGGCTTAAACTTTTGTATAATTCATGTGCAACTATTATTAATATTATTATTATCTCCTCATTGATGTTTCAATACTTGACGGATTTTTGTATGAAAAGTTTGATTGGGAGGTGGTCAGCATTTGGAGATTGGAGGGTTCCCCAAGAACTCTGAGATTTTTCGTTGCTCGTTCTCTCCTCCGCAAACATGCATTCTACTTTTCAATTTCAGAAGAAACGAATGAATGCATTATGCAAGTGGTTTCTGTGGGCGTGAAGATTCGTTTATTTAAGTTGTTTTATTCAACTTTGAAGGTGGGGTGGGGTCTCTTTGTTGGTGATTGGATAAGAGTCCCGCTTCATGTACACGCAGGGTTACATGCCGATGCCGGTCAAATTGTCTGTATACAGACAATTTAACGGCTAGATAGACAATTTGACCGGTGTTGATGAAAATCGATTTCCATACAGACAAAATATAAAAAGTTGTATGTATCACAAACATTTTAAACTTGAATTTTTCATAAAGTGTCTGTAATACAGACAGTTTTTTTTATTTGTCTGTGTGAAAATCGTTTTTTTTTTCATAAATTGCCGCTCAATATGTTTGTGCAGTCGATCAAATTGTCTGTACACAGATAATTTGACAGACGTGTAACCGGCATGTAAAATTTGGCGTTCGTTTATTTGTAATAATTGTATTAGTTGAGGACAAAGATCTTTAAGAGTGAGTCATCGCTTTCATTGGGATGGCAACTTACCTCCTGCTGCTTGAACCAACTGATTGCCTTCCTTTGGAAAAATTATCATAGAATGTTACGTACTTGACAACTATACCCTTTAGGGGTGGACCTGAGCCGGGCTGCTTCCGGCCCGGGCACAGTGGTGGATCTACATTTTGAACTTTGAGTGCTCAATTTTTTTTAATTAAAATTTGTAAAGACAATAAATAATTTAATTAAAATTATATATGTATACTAACATTTTTTTCAAAGTTCTATGTGTTCAAGTGAACACCTTTGAACTAGGCTTGGACTCGGTGCGGGCCACTCGGCCCGGGAAACCGGGTCCGGTTCCGGTTCGGGCCTAGGCCCAGGGGGTCTACCGGTTCCGGACACGGGTAAGGGAAAAGGGGAACCGGCCCGGCCGGGCCAAGCCCGATTCAGGCCTTTTTTTTTATTTTTTTTGTTTGGGCTGGGGTTAGTTGGGCTGGGCTGGGTATTTCCGAGGGGTTGGGGGGTTGGGGGGGGATGGGGGTGGGGGTGAAATAAATAAGAATAAAAAAAAAAAGAAAAAACCAGAACCGGCCCAGCCCGGAACCGGTCAAGACCCAAGCCTGTCTCGAGCCTATGGATACAGAACCAGCGGCCCGGCCCCGGACCCGACCCGGCCCGAGTCCAAGCCTACTTTGAACAAAGGTAGATCCACCACTGTCCGGGTGGCAGGCTTTTTTGGGAAAGATTGAACCAGAACCGACCTGGGTATAAACCAGGCCCGGACCGATCCGGGCCCGATTCTAAGTATTTTTTTGCTTTCTAATTAACTCCCGACCCCCTTCAACCCCACCCCCACCCACCAACCCCACCTCCATTAGCATGCGTGAACATTATTTTATTTTTTTCGATGGTAGGGTGATGTAAATCGCGTTCAAAGATATGTAACTCACGTTGAAAATGTAACTCGATGTAAGTTTATTATTACTATGTTGTTGTTGTTGTTATTATTATTATTATTATTATTATTATTGTTACTATTATTATTATTATTATTATTATTATTGTTACTATTATTATTATTATTATTATTATTATTGTCGTCATCATGATTACTATTATTATTAATATAATTATAACTCCTCTCCAAATCACCCTTAACTCCAAACATAGCCTCAATGTTAATATGTTATCTAGATTCTAGAACATAAAGTGAGGGTGCCCGTCCCTGTTTCCACCACACATCATGTCTACAGGCACGATTCTCAAATTGTGCCATTGGGATTTCAGAGTTGATTTGTCTCGAATCAAATTCAATTCTATTTTGATTTCTATAAATCTAACTGCTGGGTTACATTTCTGAACACCACCACCTAAATAAAACCTATATTTACATGATAAATTTACACTCCTCCGGGGGGATGGATATAAACTAATCACTTTTTCTTGTAATTCCAGTGGGAACACCATAGCAAACTGGGGATGCCCCATTCAAATATCGAAGGATGCATGCCTTCCGAGCTTCCCCCATGAACGACCCAATTCTCGGCCTATGCCTACAACATTTATTATGCATATCCCTCGTATTTCTATTTCCCCAATCTCCTTTTACGTCCATGGACTTCAACTCCTCCGAAATTTCACTGCATTGGTCACAGCCTCCATTAAAGTTGGACCTTTCTCTTAACCACCCTTCCAGCATTGTCTTGCCGAACCTGTCAATGTCTTTGTCAGTCACCTCCCATAGATTGGCAACTATGATTGGAGAGCCTGCTGAGAGGTAGCATAAGGGGGCGCCCTGAGGAATGTAGGTCTTGTTGCCTTTAAGTGACCCGCTGCTGCATCCCATTAGTAGGGAAGCCGAGCAAGTCTCTAGATCCTCAATCTTGTATGCAGGGATGTATTGCATGCCTGAAATAATATTTTATATATAAAAAAAACACAATACTAGCCAGTCCTTGGACTAGAATATATAGGCAAAACAAAAGACAGGTTCACTAGAGAAAAATGGATGGAATGTTCTGAAGGGGGTTGGCCCTTAATGAATAAAACGTCATATAATTACCGTTTATGTTATATGAAACCGTGGGTCGATGAAATGTCATATGATTACCAATTTACCATTAATGTAATTCTATGTTTTACTTTTATAAAATCACTATTAAAGACCCGGCCCTCTAAAACTTTCAGTCCAAATTGCCCCTTAGAATATGTTTTGGAGTTTGGTTTTGGAGGGGTGATTATTTTATCCAATAAAATTGTGCTTTGATGTGATAACATTTTTAGACAATATTATATTGAATAATACGTAGTAACTAGTACAAAAACACATTGTCCTATCGATATTCTCAATTAATATCTAATGCAGTTCTCTTAGTTTAAAATTTTAAAATAACCCCACCAAAAACCTCCAAATCTGACTCACCAACAAATCCTTGAGATATGCTTAGTTGAATGCGAGGTCTGTGTTTTGATATGCATTTTAGATTTAATAAAAAAAATGATAGATTAGCATAATATGTGGATAGTATAACATTTCAATCACCTTTTTATTTGTTCCTCCAGAAACCTTCATCCATATTTTCATTGAATTTTAGGGTATGGTTGGATGGAGGATGTTGGAGGGTTTTAAAATACTTAATTATAAATCGGAAGAATGTCAAAATAAGTCCTTTTACTATTTTAAATACAACACCTAACACATATACTTTAAAAAGTGTCAAATAAGTCATTCAAAACCAAATGACTGGTCTGGTCTGGTTTCTTTGTATTTTTATAACTATCCAAGTCTGGTCTGGGAGGAATTACAGTCCAAGTAAAAACATCCTTACTTACATGTCATTCATTATTATTAGGGGTGGGATCGGTCCGGTCCGGATCAGGTTTTTGCTAAACCCGGAAATTACCCGTAAGGTATCGGGTTATGAAAATTAGGAACCGAAACAAAGCCCACTATATTCGGTCCGAGTCGGGTTTTTTGTAGTCTGGGTTCGGTCCGGGTTCGGGTCGGTTAAAGCCTGAATGTGAAACCACTCATTTTTCTTTTATATTTTAAAATCTATTTTCAAATAAAATTAATAAAAAGTACAAACCGCAAATAAAATTAATAAGAAGCACAAATATTAGTCTCCAAAATCACCAAGAATTCGAATCCAATGAAGGCAATTATCATAATATTTTGTTTAAGATGCATAAAAACAAATAATATAGGTGTTCTAAAAATGTTATGAAATAAATTTATGGATAAAAATGTGACTAAGGTTACTATAAATATGTTTTCATGGTCATTACGGTAAATAAATTGAACATACTTGTAGTCACTAAAAGTTATTAAGTCATTTTTCATCCATCATGATTATAATCATATATTAGGAATTAATTTTTAAATTATATTGGTATATTATATTGATTTTATATTAAAGCTAATTGTTTCGGATTTTTATCGGTCCGGGCCGGGTTATAGATTTTAGGCACCGTTAATGAGCCCGAAATTTCGAGTTCGGTCTGGGTTTTTTTATTCGGGCTGGTCAAAAAGAAAAAACCCGGACCGATATCATAATTCGGGCCGGGCCAGGGCCGGTTTCCGGGTTTCAGTTCGGTTTTTCCCACCCCTAATTATTATTCATTTAATTTCATTCATCTTTTTCTTTCCTTTTCTTTTCTCTTTGTTTTTTTGTCTGTCTCGTGGTTTAACAGTTTGTTCGTCTTCTACCTGCATCTAAGCATCTTACCGCTTTCCTCTCTTTTTATTTTCTTATTTCTCACTTTCATTGTTTTTCTCTTCAGCCTGCCATGTGTTCCCTCTTTCAGCCGGGCCAGGGCCGGTTTCCTCTCTTTTTACCCTAACTTTTTTCTTTCTTCTTGTTTCTTTGTTCCTCTTCTACGGTTCTAGTGTTCTACCCCTACATCATCTGCATTTCTTTTTTCGCTCTTCAACTTTAAAAATAAAATCAAAAGCCTATATTTCAAGAGATTGTTTCCTTTATTTGTTTCAATTAGTTTGCATTTGTTATAATTTCATAGATTATGTGTGTCGATTTTTCATACTTAATGGGATTTAATTAATAATGCCAAAAATAACACCATTGGCTTATACAAAAACAATTGCATTCACTATTTCTACCGTGATAAAAAAAAATCTATGGGTGACCCGACAGTTACACTTATTCGATTCACCAGTTACGGTTACCCGACTCGACCAATTACAATTAGCCTATCCGACCAGACCCGCCACTGTTGTCCATCCGCCAGCTTCCCACTCAGTCACTGCCATCCACAGTGACTTCCACAGCCGGCCATTGACCACCAGTTCACAGTTACAACATGATTTTCAACAAAATCTACTCGCCCGCCCCCATTGCCCCTGTCCCTGCCCTGCCAAGCCCACTACCCAGCAACCCTAACCCCTGCCACTGTTTAGTGACCTGCGAGTCAATATACGGTTATTTCAGCCTACCTAACTGCCACAACTACACCTGCTCCCACCCCAGCGATTTTCCTACCCACGCCACTCTGCCATGCCCCTTCCCCAACCCCTGGTACAGGCCCTGACCATCCATTCTCCCCATCCCCGTCCCCAATCCATAGCCGCCGACCCCTGCGTTGGCCCTGTAACTAGGCGCCGCTTCTGTTAGGCTGTAATTCACCCCTTTAACCCTAGCCTAACCCTAGCTGGCACTGGACATCGTTGGTGGATATTAAAGAGAAGAAAAGAAGATCGTGGGCGAAAGGCAACGCGACAGTGACGTAGGTAGCGGCGGCAAGAGGGGCTGATTGGCGGCGAGAGGTCAGTGGCAATAGCGGATGAAAGAAAGGCGGTGGCCTGGTCCATATAGAAGATGCCGAAGGCTGAAGCGGACGAGAGAGCATATGGGTCGAGTCCATTGATCAATGACAAGTTGATGTTGAAGAAAAATTATCTGCCCTCGCACAATTTGTAACCAGCCTCAAAACTTTGCCAGCAGCCGTTGCACGCCTGGAACACCTGCCAGCAGCAGTCACGGCATTGACAGTGGCCGTGCAGAAACTCGTGATGACAGGTTCCCCCTCAGAGTACGGAGATGTTATCGCAGGGCATCATGCATCCTAGTCGATCCCCCTTTTCCTCGCCAGTCTTGTTAGTATAAAAACCGGATGATTCTTGGCATTTTTGTGTTGGATTACATCGAGCTTAACTCCAAAACAGTTAAGGATAAATTTCCAATTCCAGTAATCGACGAGCTTT